GGCACACGACGAAGCATCAAATTGTTGCGATGGCGCTTGTCCATGAACGGGGAACGGGATTGGAGCAGGGATGAAGGGGGGCTGAGGAGGCGGAAGGGGGGAGGAGGGGGGGAGACCTGTATCACTCGATCGAGGAATTTAACCTCGAGCCTCAAGCGTGGAACCAGGATTTTCGGGTCAGCCCGATGTACTTCGTAGGAAAATGCCGTCTGGGCGTTTTTGAAGCTCTTTTGGGCCGTCCAGGGGCCTTCTTGGGCCGTCTTGGGGAGCTGGGACCCTCCAGAGGTCTTCTGAAGCCATCTAAAGCTGGCTCTCTTGCGGGCCTCCAGTGGCCTTCTTGGGGGTCTCCCATAGTTTTCGCGGGTCTCTCTTGGGAGCCTTCTGGGGGCATCTTGGGTTTCTTGTGGCCAGTCTCGGGGCTCTCTGGGGCAGTCTTGGGGCCCTCTTGGGCCGTCTTCAAGCCCTCGGGGGGACCTCTTGGGCCGTCCTGGGGCGATATCGGGGGCCCATCGGGCCGTCTTAGATGCTACGAAGACCCCAGGAGCGGATATGCAAGAACAAATATTTCTAAACGCCCTCTTGGGGCCTATTGGGGGCCTCTTCGGCCGTCTTCAGACCATCGAGGTTCCTCTTGGAGCGCTCTTGTGCTGTCTTGGGTCTCTCGTGCGACTTTCCGATGACCCTTCTGATCGCCTTGAGTCTGCTCGCAAGGCCTGGCAATGCGCCCTGGGAGGCCCGGAAGGGCCAGCGGACCTTTTCCAAGGAAGTCCAGGGGGCGTCGCGACGTCCGAAAGGGCGTTTGGGGCATCCATGGGGGGGGGTCCAGTTTGGGGCGGGGGGGCGAGTAACAAAAGTATATGAATAGGAATTCAGATGTATACAAGATGCGTTGGCGCTTCGCGCCGTTAACATTGGCCCTTCAAGCTTCTCATATGTTTGCACTTGGCGTCATCCTGTTTGACCTTTGGAAGTTGTCCGTTTTCTTTAAAGTCACCTTACACGTGCCATGCTTGCTCTCGCCCTAAATTCACATGGTCGTGCGCCACCAAGTTTGTTCTTGGGGTACGTTTTGATTCGAATTTCGAGGCGCGCCCGATGACGTGGCGACGAGAACACCACATGGAAGCTCCGAAACATGTTGAACAAACATCGCGTGCCTTCTTCGTTGGATCCTGTGCCGGCAGGTGTGGTAACGGTCTGCGCATCGATGTCTGACACCGCTTGGATCGTTCAGCCGTCGCGTGGCCCACGTGGCCCAAGCTGTCCAGGTGCGCAACGCAAAGCAATGGTAAGCCATGCGACCATGCAATAGCGCCGCATATCAAGAAATACATCGAAACCCGGGTTTGCCACGGACTTCTGGGGAATTTGTTGCAAACCCGGGGTTCGCGTGAGTTTGGTGTATTTCGTACGAAGACGCCTTCTGGCAGACGCACGACCATGCAAAGGGATGACGTTCGGGGTCCTTCGCGTGGCCACTACACGGGCTCGCTCGTGGTCCAAGTTACTCGGTCGCGCAATGCAAGGCAATGGAACGCAACGCATTATCGTTCCACATCATTCCTCTCATGCGTCCTCGCTCTCGCCTGGCGTTGCGAACCATTCCCCGTCTGCCACAGATTTTTTTGCGGAGGCTCCTGGCTGGAGAACAAGTTGGGGGCCTCACGAATGCCTCTCAAGGGCCTTTGGAACCTCTGGAGGCCTCCTGGGAGCCTCTCTGGGCCGTCTTGGGGATCCTTTTGAAGCTCGTTTGGCCTGTCTTGGGTCCCTCTTGGGCCGCGCTGGGGTCTTCTTGAGGAAGTTGAGCCCTCTACAAGCCTTCTTCGGACCATCTTGGGCCCTCTTGGGGACCTCCCATGGCTCCTGTGGGTCTCTCTTGGGAGCCTTTGAGGGGCCTCGTGAGCTTCTTTGGAGCCGTCTTGGGGCAGTCTTGGGCTGTCTTGAAGCCCGCTTGGGAGCCTCTTGGGCCGTCTTGGGGCGATCTCGGAGGCCTCTTGGACCGTCGTGACCGCTGCGACGACACCAGGAGCGAATATTCTGAAAATGTACGTTTCCACGAGGGAATGGGAAGATGTTCGCCTGTTGGGGGCCCTCCTGCTCTTGAGGTGTTTTAGGGGCCTCTTGGGCCGTCTTGTGGGCTTCCTGGGCCGTCTTGAGGCCGTCTTGCGCCGTCTTGGGGGTCTCCTGCGCCTCTTCAACTACTTCTCTGATCGCTCTGGGTCTGCTGGGCGAGGCCCGGCAAAGCGCCCTGGGAGGCGCGGCAGGGCTGGGGGACCTCTTCGAAGAGCGTCCAAGAAGCCTCAAAGCACCGGGTCCTGGGGGTCCGGTTTTTTTGGGGGGGGGAAGGTTTTCCCGCCCCCCTCCGCTTATAAAAAATATGAAGAGGAATATGGGGAGGCACAATGAGATATATACACGGAGGGGGCTGTGTATACATGTACATCTGCACATATAAATTGACAAGCAGACACACACATACATACATATGTATACATTCCCTTTCAGATATGTTTATGAATCCGGACGCTGCGGAACGCAAAGAAGACCTCCAAGAGGCTTCCAAAACGAAGAAATACACTGATTTGCAAGGTTTTTGCATGATGTGGGACGGCCATGCTCTTCAATTTTTTGGGCGTCCGAGATCGCCCATGAGGCCCGAAAATCTGACCAACACTATCCGAAAGAGCTTCCAGGCAGTCCAAGAAAGCCCCAAGACGGCACAACAAGGTTCTAAAATGGCGCGAACAGAGCCTATGACAGCCCAAAATGGCCCCAAGACGCCCCCCGACGCATTCCAAATCGTGACCCGGTCGTTCAGGGAGACCGCGATCGGAAGCAGGGTGGCCCGAGGAGGCCCCCAGAGTCCCTCAGAAGGTGCCCAGGAGGCCTCCAGGTGGTCCCAAGAAGCTATTGAAAACTTTCGTCAGGCCCCAAGAGGCTCTTCAAGGAGGAGCCTCTGGAAAAAGAGCCGAGGAGGACAGGGAAGAATTCGCAGGGTAGGCTGAGAATGGGGAAAGGGAAACTGAAGGAAGGAAACATTATATCTTTACCAGAACTGCGATGTCGGAAAAGGCAACAATGAATTATCGCTGAAGTGTCTGGTTTACCTTCCTGTCTTTCCGCCTGGATTCCAAACTTCAAGGACCAAGGTGCATGGCGCGAAGCTCCAGTGCAGCCTTGCACGTGTATATATATGTAGGAATATAGATGGCTGTGTAGTTATAGATGTAGAGATATGTGTATATATGTGGATTGCACACTTCCATGTTTAACACCCTGATGTGTATCAAATCGTGAGTTCGTTTGTGCGTCCACTGCCGAGTCCAAAATTATACGAATCCCCTCACAACATCCTTCTCACGCGAAGGGCGGTGCATGCGGCAAGAAGTGTGAGCGTGGCGGTAGATCGACGACGAGCCTGTATCAATTTGATCCAGGCGAGAAGTGGATCCCGCGAGGCCCCGGGCCTTTGTGGTCCTGATCGTTTCTTGAAGACCGCTTGGCGGGTGATTTGGCGCTGCCACGCTGAAAAGGTGGGACAAGGTAGGCGGGGAGAGGGGAGGAGCGGGAAGAGCGAAGAATGGAGCAAAAAGTGAGGATAGGGAGAGTGGAGGGAACAGGGAGGGAGGAGGCAGTTGACCCACCAGGTCTGCGTCACAAGAAGAGGAAGGGGAGGCGGATAGGGCGGAGGTGTGGGGAGGGAAAGGGCGGCGCAGCCCACGCCCGCACCGCAGTGCCTGGCTGGGGCCGTGAGGCGGGCGTGCGGGCATTGTCGCACACCGGGATTCGCTCTCCCCCCCCCTCCCGGCTCCGCCAGAAGAGGGTGCCGCTTGCTCGAGGCCCCGCTGCTCTATGAGGACGTGCAGGGGGGCCTTCGGCTCTCCTCCACGCCCCTAGATAGGGGAACCAACAACGACATAAACGTAAAGATTCGGACGTCCGTGCGGGTTTCTCGGATCGGCGCTGCACCCCCCTCCCCGGCGCGCGGAACGCGCCAGGGGCGGCGCCAGAGGCGCCGCCAGGGGGCTCCAGCGCCGATCCGAGAAATCCGCCCGGATCTCCGAGTCTTTCTGTTTGGGCCATTGTTCGTTCCCCATATCCACGCCCCTGGGAGCACCGGGCCCGCCTGCGGCCTTTCTTGGAGGCCTGTGTGTAAGGAGGGGTAGGATTACGGAGGAGGGGGATTAAGGAGGAGGGGGAGGAGGAAGGAGGAGGAGGAAAAAGGGGAAAAAAGGGGGAGAAAGATTAAAGAGGAGGAATCCTCCCTCCTCCTTAATCCTCCTCCTCCTTAATCCTTCCCCTCCTGAGTGTGGCAGGCCCAGCAGAAGCCTCTCCCAGCTCGTTCGGCCTCGTGGGCGGGAGCGCCGGCTCTCCGTGTGACGGCCCTCGAGAAGGCGAGGATCTGGGGCTTCCGGGCCCGAGGCCGACGTGGATCTAGCTCCTGCGCCAAAGGTCGGAGTCTGCGAGATGATCCCAAGGCGGTCGGGCCGCCTGCCACGTCTCCAGGAGCGGCGCGTGATGTGTGAACGGCGGGGGCGGTTGCCCAACCAACCCAAGAGCCATCACGAACGCTGGAGGCTCTGGCTTCTGGCCCTGCACAACAATCGGTCTCGAGGATGACAACGTATGCGCAGCTGATTCCCGAGAGTCGCTTTGCCCCCGTTCTTCAGGTTGATGGGATACTCGTTGCCCAGGCACACCTGACATTCTCCTCATGCTTCTTGCCCAACGCGACGTGGGGTTGGAAACCCCCAAAGATAACCTTCAAGCCAAAATGGAAACCAGCACAGGAGCCTGGGAGGAAAAGGGAGGGAGGCAAGGGGAAGTATGGACGCTGAGAATGAGGCGGATGAGAAGAAGGTGGTAGGTGGGAGGAGGAAGAGTCGAGCAAACTTCCCCAAACGTTCAAACCCGAAATGTGGCCCAAAACCTTAGTATGTATGCCCTGTCCCTTCCTCTTATTCTGCGCTCTATTGCGCTTTGCGATCTCCCAGGGATGCCTCCACCAAGGCGAAAGGGACGGTGTGCGCACTGGTCCAGTGCTGGCCGACCTTTATGTGCAACTCCTCCTCCACCTGGCGTTATCGATCATTACGGCAAGTTCGTGTCGTGACGACTTGGGCGCTTCAATCTAACACAGCGTGGACCGTTCAACCTTGACCGGTCACGGATTTCCGACAGCGCAGGCCGTTCGATATCTTCCTGGCCACTGCAAATGTTCAACATTGAACTCCCGCGCTGGGGTCGCTCGCCGCCGCGCCGACGCGACACGAACCTGCCGTACATCTTTTTCAACCAGGCACTGCAGATCAGGAGCAAGAGCAGAAACACGAAGGAAAACAGTACGCGGCGGAGGAATAGAGTAAGCAAAATTGGCCACTGCGGCCCCGGGATACCGTGTGAAACTGCTGGGCGATTGAAATAGCCGTAGAATATGAAGCAACATCGCTGGCCCGCCGTGGGTATAACGGATAAGAAAGTCAAAGATGATGTTAACTGAGCGTTATCCCCTCTGGAACATGACAACGTATGGTCCCCCATACATCCCGTGCCGTTTCCCCACCCTTGGGGGAGTCTGCCACATGCCGACTCCGAAAATGGCGATGCCCCCCCCCCTGCGCCATCCGCGCTACCTTGAGCCCGCACACTGACACGAAAAGAATGGCACACATAGTCGGGCGGGAAGCACCGCTGCGTTCCTCGTCCGTGCGCACCTCAAGGGCGTGGGCACCGCAATTCCTGCGAGCACCGCCGCGTCCGAGAATACACTTCGCGTGAACACCACCGCAAGAAGTGCGAGCACCCCCACAAGGCCTGCGCGCACAGCAGCGCCCGTGGCCACAGAGCCCCGCATGAACGCCACAGCGCCAATGAACACCACCGCGCCTGCGATGTCACTGCTTTGAAGGACGCAAGCATGCACGGCCTGCCCAACAACCCACGCCACGCGCCGCCCAGACCTGCGCAAACGCAGGTGAATGATAACCAGACAACCCGGGTCACCGCTGGACCCTTGAGGCACACTCCCCAGTCGGCGGCTCTCTGCAGGCTTCCGGCTTGACGACCTCTGTCCATCGGCAGACGCGTAGCAACAAGTAATTACCGTCATCACCCCTCTGGCAACCACAGCCACCGTCTGCGTCGTCACCACGATAGCCCGAGAACGCCGACCAGAGAGCTCAGGCGGTATGAATAAACCCATTGTGAGCTGAAGCGCCCACGTACAGGGGCCTGGGAGAGGACGTCTGGCCGAGGACTGGCGGGGTGAGACTAGGGCGGATCCGAAACAGCAGATCGGTACATGCATATCTATGCATGTACATACACACACATATAGACAAGTGCATACATGTGTACATCTATATATATATATATATATACACACCCCTATATATACACAGTGTGTCTGCATATGTGTGAGAGAGCGCGCCCACAGGGCCCGAGCAAAGGGGAGGGGGGGCCAGGCTTAAGCTACCCCCCCCCTGCCTTGAGCCGCCCTTGTTGGAAGCACCCCCTCCCCTCCCCCCCTTTTTTTGCAGGGGGGGGGGGCTTGCAGCTACCCCCCTCCCCTTGGGCCCTCCCCGGAAGCTACCCCCCCCTCCCCCCCTTTCCAAGGGGGGGGGTGCTTAAGCTACCCCCCCCCCCTTGGCGCTGCCCTGCTGGAAGCTACCCCCCCCTCCCCCCCTTTCGTGCAAAGGGAGGGGGTGCTTGGAAGCTACCCCACCCTCTTTGGCCGCCCCGGAAGCTACCCCCCCCCCTACCCAGCTACCCCCCCCTCCCTTGGAGCCGCCCTGCTGGAAGCTCCCCCCCCCTCCCCCCCTTTGTGCCAAAGGGGGGGGGGCTTGGAACCCCCCTTTGGCCGCCCAGCCCCCGGAGCCTCCGCCCTCCCTTTCGCCGACGATCCAAAATGAACAATCCACGATCGAGGATGGACGATCGACGATCAACGATCGACGATCGAAAATCCCAATCGAATCGCTTGCAATCGATTGCACTCCATTCCACTGCAATCCCCCTCCCCACCTCCCTCCGCTCCCTCCCCTCCCTCCCCACCCTTCGTTCCATCTCCTCCCTCCCCTCCCTCTCCTCCCCTCCCTCCCTTCCGTCCTGTCCCTCCCCTGCAATCCAATCGATTGAATCGATTGCAATTCAACCGATTGCAATCCAATCGATTGCAATCCAATGGATTGCAATCGAATCGCTTGCAATCCAATGGATTGCAATCGATTGCAACGCAAGTGTATCATTCAACTCGTCCCGTGCCAACGCCCGGGAACGAAAAATTACCCTGGCGACGTACCCAACCCCTGCGCAAACGCGGGGCGCAAATAGTTTAGGACACTTTATAAGGGGGGCGATGACGGAGCGAGGGTTACATATGTCTGCAGACGGAATTCGGGAGACTCGCAGGACACTGGCTTCAGGACAAGGACTAGATAAAGCTGATTAGTTGCAATCCCTGAGCAACCCTAGCCACTTCGAAAGCGGGGATCTCAGATCGCAGCCCCCCAGGGATGGCGAGGTCTAATTTGGGTCCGCGCGTGGCGTCACTGTGCTGGGCCCCCCAGCAGGCCTCGAAAGTGGCGACAGTTTCACAGATCGCAGCCCCCCAGGGATGGCGAGGTCTAATTTGGGTCCGCCCGTGGCGTCACTGTGCTGGGCCCCCCAGCAGGCCTCGAAAGTGGCGACAGTTTCACAGATCGCAGCCCCCCAGGGATGGCGAGGTCTAATTTGGGTCCGCGCGTGGCGTCACTGTGCTGGGCCCCCCAGCAGGCCTCGAAAGTGGCGACAGTTTCACAGATCGCAGCCCCCCAGGGATGGCGAGGTCTAATTTGGGTCCGCCCGTGGCGTCACTGTGCTGGGCCCCCCAGCAAGCCTCGAAAGTGGCGACGGTTTCGCAGATCGCAGCCCCCCAGGGATGGCGAGGTCTAATTTGGGTCCGAGCGTGGCGTCACTGTGCGGGCGGAGGATAACGAGGATGATGATGATGATGATGATGATGATGATGATGATGATGATGATGATGATGATGATGATGATGATGATGATGATGATGATGATGATGATGATGATGATGATGAGGAGAAAGGGAGGAGGAGGAGAAAACCGAGGAGGAGGAGGAGGAGGAACGGAACGGAAGGACCCGCGGGGGAGTACGATGATGATGATGATGATGATGATGATGATGATGATGATGATGATGATGATGATGATGATGATGATGATGATGATGATGATGATGATGATGATGATGATGATGATGATGATGATGATGACGATGATGACTATGAGGAGGATGAGGAGGACGAGGAAGAGGAGGAGGCAAAAGGAAGAAGAGGAGGAGGGAGAGGGGCGGGAATAAATGGAGGCGAAAGGGAGGGCGATGGCTCCGGGAGCTGGGCGGCCAAAGGGGGGAAGGGGGGGGGCTTCAAGCCCCCCCCCTTTTGCACCAAGGGAGGGAGGGGGGGGGGCTTCCAAAGCCCCCCCCCCTTTTCAGCTCCATTAAAAGGCTCACCCCAGGGAGGGGGGGGGGTAGCTTGGAAGCCCCCCCCCCCTTTCCGGCCACGAAAAGGGGGGGGGGGGGGTAGCTTCCGAAGCCCCCCCCCCCCTTTCAAAGGGGGGGGGTGGCTCACCCCGGCTCAATTAAAGGGAGGGAGGGGGGGGGGTAGCTTGGAAGCCCCCCCCCCCTTTCCGGACCACGAAAAGGGGGGGAGGGGGGGGGGGCTTCCGAAGCCCCCCCCCCCCTTCAGCAAGGAAGGGGGGAGAGGGGTAGCTTCAAGCTGGGGCCCCCCTTTTTGTCTGTCGGGCCCCACGAGCGCGGTCTATCATATGTGTGTATACATGATATGTACAGTGGGTGTCACGGCCATGTTAGAGGGTACCAGAACGCTGTGACGAGACAGTACCATATCAGGAGCCTGGCTGGCGGGGTAAGCGCTCCACTCAGCCCCATACAGTCCGAATCGACTTCTGCGATGTCTTCTCATGCGAGCAGACCATGATATGTGCAGGGCAGCTCTAACTGCAGACACAAGCAGGGCAACTCCATCTCGGATTTGAGGATGCGCTCTGATCGACGTACCGTCCGATGCGGAAAAGCACTGCCGCACTGGCATGCCTGAAACACCCCGTTGAGGCTCGACCTGTGGCGGCCGCCTTTCTGGCGTGGATCCTCTGCTCCTCAAGACAATCCGCCACGTGAATACGTGCCCCGACCGACGCGGGCCATGGCTCTTGGCACCGCGCGACCCGCTCAGCCTTGAGTGACCTGCGCCCTCGGAGGTCCCCCGAGGCCGTCGACCGCATGTCCCGCCAGGAACTCGACGATCTGCTGTTTTCAATCCGCGCCCCCAGACCTCCCGACCCCTTCCCGAGGGGCAGCCGCTCGTCCCAGCTCCGCTGGGGCACGTCAAGGGCCCCTTGAAGAGCCGACATTGACTCAAACCGCTGGGATTGAACAGTCTCGGACCTGGGCCCCTGGTGGGCCCCTGGCGGCCCATGCCGGGGCACGAAAAAATAGTGACCCCAAAGGGCGTTCAGCCTCGAACGCCCTCCCCCGGCCTCGCCGCCCCGCCGAGGGGGCTCGAGCCTCCCCTCCCTCCCCCCTCGCCCTCCCTCCACCCGAGAGGCAAGCAGAAAATGGGATCGGCTCGAGGGGGGAAGCGTCGATCCAAAATCGACGATGCATCGACGATAGATCGGCGATTGGCTGTCGGCGGCAAGAATCCGAACGCTCCCGGATGGAGTGGGCCATGAGGCTCTCGGCGATCAATGGGCGATTGGGGGCCGATGCGCCCCCCACCTGAGCCCCATCCCCCCCCTCCACCCCGTCTCCTCCGCCCCCTCGAGCGGCGCGGCTCGGTCGGCCCTGGGCCCCGTCGTGGGCCCTGGAAACGCCAGGGCCGTGTTGTTCCCGCTTCTGTGTTGCATTTTCGTCTGTGTGCTGGTTCCGGCGTCCTTTGTCCGGGTTCAGTCGCAAGCTGTGTTTTCCGGATCCCAGCTCCAATCCCGGAGCGCAGTAGCTCGTCCCAAATCCGGGAGCCGTTCTTGTTACCCTTCTCGTGCTCCAAGGGCC